CAAGGTGGAGGTGCAGGAGGAGGACTCGGAAGAGGCCTGGGCCCACGCCCGGAATCTGATTCCACAGGCCGCTCCTGGCCTCTCTCAAGCGAAGGTACCTCTTGCGGGAGGCCTTCCCTGGAGGCTGGCTGCCGCGCTTCTAAGTGACCCTTCCATCTCCACACTGTGATGCTCAGATTCTGTTCGCCACTTAACGATAGCGGCTGTTTCATGTTTTCCATGACCACCACCACCTTTGGGCAGAATCAAATGTAAACTGGCTGGTTCTGCTTTGTCCCGCCCCTCTCATTGGGACTTTTGATAAACGGCCCTTCCAGCCAGCCTCGGCCTGGCATCCTTCCAGGAACCATGAGCCCTACCTGCCCATACCCCTTGATGGGAGATCAATATGAACTGGTCCCTCTTTTCTAAAGTCCAGTTTTGGACTTTGTGGCTGAGTGCACTCCCAGCTTTCCTCTCTAACGACTCCCTCTCTACTTCCTTCCCTGGATAATTTATTTTTATCTTTTTAATACAAGCATCACTAAGCTTGACTAAGAGTTCTCTTTTTGGCTTGAAGATCTTATCTATTGCCACTTTGATCAACTGATTCCTTGACCCTAGACCAGAGGTCGGGAAACTGCAGCTCGCCAGCGCCCTGCAGCTCTTTGGCCCCTTGAGTGTGGCTCTTCCATAAAATACCACGTGCGGGTGCGCACATACAGTGCGATTGAAACTTCATGGCCCATGTGCAGAAGTCGGTATTTTGTTCCTAGCCAACTCCCAAACATGTCAACAGGTGCATACAGAATCTGCAAAGCCACCCAGATAAGTTCACCCTAAATCAGGAGATCTTCTACTGAACTGCAGATAAAGTACTGTAATTTTAAGTCATTAAGCTTTGGGATGGTTCATTATAGCCATAGGTAACTAGTTAACTTATAATCCCAATGTTCAATTAAATGTCCCATTGCTTTTCTCTGAAGGGTAAGCAAGGAATTCTGGAAATCATAAGGCTGATAACTATAATTGCAAACGCAGGCTCTTCTTTTGCTACATTAAATAACTGCTTCTCTCCCACATTAGTTAAATGTCCAAATGAGACTTTTTACCGTACCACCAATTCCTTCCGAAGGTCAGTGACTGCAGCTTGGTTTAATTGATGCAGAGCATCATCAACTAGGTGACTTCGTCTGACTCGAAGTAAAAATCCGGGTGAAAACATATGTGTAATTCGTGACTCCTGGAAAAAGAAATATTTTAGGAATTGTCACTGGAATATTAGGAAATATTTAACATTTCAGATAAACCCATTTTGTCTAACATACAATTATGCCTACTATTGCCATATATGGTCATATTGTAATTATTTAAGAAAAGAGCATCATATGTACACTATGGAAGATAAAAAGGTGGTAGAATCTGTGAGACTGTGCTATCTAGTAATTTTGTACAGAGGATTCATCATCGTGGATGTACAGCTAAGTAATTAAAAGCTATCTCTGATCACTTATTTTAATAAACATGATCCTTAAAAGCAACAGTGGTGTTCCCCACGCAGAGACAGTCTCCCACCAGTTTTTAAGAAGAAGAGTGTTAGCACAATAATCCTCAAGAATGTAAGGGCAGTTTAGAAGCTCAGGGATAATGTGAGATGTAGGAAACACCTGATGAACATAGATCAGCCGTGGGCAAACTACGGCCCGCAGGCTGGATCTGGCCCATTTGAAATGAATAAAACTTAAAAAAAAAAAAAAAGACCGCACCCTTTCATGTAATGATGTTTACTTTGAATTTATATTAGTTCACACAAATACTCCATCCATGCTTTTGTTCCGGCCCTCCGGTCCAGTTTAAGAACCCATTGTGGCCCTCGAGTCAAAAAGTTTGCCCAACCCTGGGCTAGAGGAAAGACTTGCTCAGAGATAAGTGTTCTCTGTTACCCTACATAGTACCTCCATTAAGCTCTTCTAAATTCTCAACATGCCCTCACCATTTCAGCTCCCTGCTCTTGTTTCTGCTGAACTCCCTGGGATTAGAAATCTAGCCTTGGAATTACTGGCCTTGCTTTGACCTTTAACCTTCCTCTAGGACTTCTGCTATATCACAAGGACAATTAAAGAATATTTAGGATTCATAAACCAATGCCACTATTGTGACAGTAAGACAGGTGGATAATAACTATCCTAGTCCAGGTTTCCAGACAGTGTGGTTGCCCATATTAGCACTCTATAGGCATCTCAGGTAAGTGCATGCATATGGCTCTGGGCTTGGGAAAGACCTGTCCCAGATCTCTGCTATTACTATATACTGAGAAATTATATGTGATTCCACTAGATTCTTCTGGTTTTTCCCTAAGGTCTTTGTTGTAAAGAAACTCCACAACACTAGCTGGCTTGGCTCAGTGGCTAGAGTGTCGGCCTGCGGACTGAAAGGTCCCGGGTTCAATTCCGGTCAAGGGCACATGCCTGGGTGGCAGACTCAATCCCCAGTAGGGAGTGTGCAGGAGGCAACCGATCAATGATTCTCATCATTGATGTTTCTATCTCTCTCTCTCTCTCTTCTCTCTCTCTCTCTCTCTCTCTCTCTCTCCCTTTCTCTCT